AGGAGAAGACGTGTCCTGTAAAAATATCAGCACATTTCCATCTGCACATCTAAGCACTTTGTTATCTAAAAAAAAGCAATCATCTTATTTATTCCTTGCACAGATTACTGAGATAAATTAGGAGTGAGAATAAATATCCTCCAGATGTGGGGAGTGGTGGTACAAGCTAAGGACAGGGAGATCCCAGAGCAGGACACACCTCAAGGGAATGCAAAGGGAACAGAGAATTCAAACAATCAAGTAATTGAGAGCTCATTTTTGTCAGTTCTCTGTGTACATTCACAGTACAGCACTCCGAGAGCTCCATTTCCATAGGGTTTTCCCACGAGGGCTGGAAGGCAAATGTCATGAGAACATCGTGTATGGATCTTCTAAAGATGAACCCAGAGGAACTCACAGGAGGGGGGAGTGAAAGGAATCCTAAAAGACAAGTTCATTTATCTTCCCAAAGAAGGGAAGGGGGAGGATTTACAGACTCATTTGTTCTGCACGAGGATGGGTGTGCCACCAGCCTGTCAAGTGGGCAGAAAATACTTTCCAGGACTGTATTTTTTTTTTTAGTCTCTAGACTCACAGCAAAATGCCAGGGATGTTAGGAGGAATTTGAAAACTGTAGTTGTTAAAATATTAACAACCCTGCCCCTGACTGTCAAATAAATCTAGTAAAAGTGGCAGCTAAATTACTCAGTTCCCACAAACTTCAGTGAAAAGAACTGTTTGGCACAGAAGAATATTTTGTCTTAAAATTTGGAGATAAAAGTTATAAGGACAGTGACCTCCAAATACTCCCCAGTCATCTCCCCCTTGGAAAACAATTCAGAGCCCTGAGAAACACAGGCGAGTGTTTGCTTTGGTTTTCGGAGCTTTTTGTTTGTTTGTTTCAATCAAGTTTATCTCAACAGGAAACGTATCTTGCCAAAGTTGATCAACAATACTGAAAAGAGCAAACAAGAAAAGGTAACCTGCTTCCCCTGCAAAGCTCCTCTCAGAAGGAAAACATTTTCACCAACAGTTGAACTTGAACATTATTTTACGTTTGAAATGGTCAGCGGTTTCTAAATTAATCTAAATGACTTAAAAATACAACAGAATGGAACACTTAGGAAAAACCAAAGGCTGTTTTGGTTGTGGGTTTTTTTTGGTTTTTGGCTCGTAATGCCCCTCAGGTTGATTTGCTCTTCCAGATGGTCAAAGGAGGGGATTCATCCTCTCTACTCCGCCCTTGTGACACCCCACCTGGAGTACTGCCAGAGGGTAGGGTTAGATGGGATATTGGGAAGGAATTCTTTCCTGGGAGGGTGGGGAGGCCCTGGCACAGGTTGCCCAGAGAAGCTGTGGCTGTCCCTGAATGCCTGGAAGTGTCCAAGGCCAGGTTGGACGGGCCTTGGAGCAACCTGGGCTGGTGGAAGGTGGCCCTGCCCATGGCAGGGGGTGGGACTGGATGAGGTTTAAGTCCCTCCCAACCCAACCCATTCTGGGACTCTATGGCTGATCTAGCAGGGCTTTGAAAATATAAAGCAGCAGAGCATTGTTTTATGGGATCCAAATTCTATGATACGCTGAGATTCCTTGATGAATCTCAATAAAAAAGTCAGGGAAACTTTTTGATGTTCTTCCAGGCCCAAAACCATTACTGTGGCTCAGTTACTGGGGACTGCCCAGTTAATGCTGTGGAAGTGGCCAGTGGCTCTGGAAGAACAGCCCCTGGTGTTCTGCATCAAAACCAAAGCCAAATTTTAGCTACACTCATAATTTAGGATTTTTGCCTGTTTTTTCATGTCCACTTAAATACCTACAGCTGCTCATCGTGCTGTTACACAGGCCCCAAATTCCACTTTCCCAGAGCAATGTTTACTCTCAAATTATTTCTTCTGTTGAGCTTCACAGGTAGAATGGTTGACACACGACCATCATTAGGCTTTTGATTAAAAAAACAGTGGAAATAATGAGGGAACACCCTTTACAAGCAGGGTAATTATCTCAGAAAAAGGGTACCAGCCCAGGTAGGTTTCTGCAAGTCCTTTAGTGAAACAAAGGCAAAAAAAAGGAAAGGAAAAGAACTGAAACTTCTAACTTGGGGGACTGGGAGGGAAGCAGAGATTCAGATGCTGAATCTCCAACTCATATTAAACTAAAAATTAGGACAATACTTGGAGATGCCCAAACTGTTCTGTGCAAGCCACACACAGCCTGTTTGTTGATGTTGGAAATACCTGTTCATCATTTGGACTCATTCTCAGGATGAATTTCTCGTAACATTTGAACAGTAGGAAGCTCTTTATCAGGTATCATTAAGAAGAAAAAATACAAAGAAATCCTCAACAACTAATGTACGTAGGCCAACATAACCTTACTTTTAGCTGCCAGCTCTTTAGAAATGGGTATTTCCAAGCAGCAAAGTCTCATGGTGAACTACAGTTGAAAGGTTCAAGGTCTGGATGTAGCATCTTTTTAATAAAATCCACAATTTTTAAGACCAAGACAACCAAGGGACGAGAGGAAGTTATTCCCTTCTCATTTACTACCTTTTTTTGACCAAATTTCTTCAGGGGGCTCTAAGCATTGTCATTTGAACCCACCTAAAAATGGAGGAGACATTGGCCCTCCTCAGACACTTTGGAAGTGTTTCCCATCACACAGAAATTCTCAAGGTGTGTCTCTGACAGCCAAAAGAATGTCCTTGGCTTTGTGCTCAGCAACTGGTCAGGAGGTTTTTTCCAGGCTTCTACTATTCCAGTGAACACTCTCATCAGTGAAGCAACAGCAATTCTCACACAAATGAGCAATTCTCTCATTTTGCTTCTTAAAATATTTTTTAAGATTTCGTTTTCAATGCGCACATGAAACTAAAGTCAAAAAATAACAATAATAATATAAAAGTGGGGTTTTTTTCCCCAGACAGTCCCATGCTTCAGCATTGGTCGTTAGCATCTTCAGGCCCTTTTTGCAAGAATGATGAAGTCAGGTTGCTGCCCTAATCAAGTTCTATAATAAGTAATTGCATTTTCTCTGTCTTAACTAGCCCTCTCAACAAGAGGGATTGTTTTTCACTGCCGAGCTGAACGTTTTTTCCTGTTGCACTACAACATGAAACACTTGCAATGTTATACCAGGGGACTGGAAGGAGCTGATCTCTACAGCTCTGCTTTGCAAACACTGCCGGGGCCCCTGGGGATGGAGCTGCCCATGGAACACGGTGGTTTTCCGATGAGCAGCTGCTTCCAGGGACACCTGATACTCTCTGATGAACCTCCCTGAGCCCAGAGAGAGCAGGGGAGGGTTGTGGTAATTGTGCAGTGACTGTGCAGACCCAAGAGCTCTGGTTACACCGGCAGATGAGCAGCTGGCTGACGGAAACACCATTAAAAGAATTAACTCTGCAGCTGTGACTTTTAAAACTCATCCTCATTTCTAACCTTAGCAGGAAGGCAAAGTAAAAGAAAATATTGCCACAGAGCAGATTAATTCCCACAGAGCAAGGGTCTTGGTTTGAATTAACTGGACCTGGTTTGAGTTTCCATTAAATACTTTCTATGTGAACCAGAAAACAACAACTGGCACAACTCCAGCCCAGCTCAGTTACAGAACTGCAATAGTATCAGTTTAGAATAATTGTGGATCTGGTTACAATTAGAGATAACTTTCTAGCTGCAATAGAGCAGGTCATAGATGGTGGTCATGTGGGAAGTCATCTCTTGATTGAGGGAAATAATTACCCTCGAGTTTTCTGCCTCTCTGGGCACCAGAAATGCTTCTCACCTCCTGGTCAGTGAGAGATGCTTTCCCACACACTGAACCCAAAGTGGAAATAATGCCAGCACCTTTCTGGAATTCATTTGGTGTCACCAGTAAATCAACCCAGCCCAAAAATTTCTCCTGAATCACCTGATCAACAATTTCCTCCTCACTGCTCACACCATCACCAGCCACATCTCCACACAAGGTGCTCACGCTGCAAAGATTTCTCAGGGCAAACCAGAAACCTCTCAGCAACTGCAGAGACAAAGACAAATGTGCACAAATCCTGCCTCGTCTCTGGGGTGTCTGTGACATCCCTGTGTCCCTCTGGGACACAGGAGCCTCCTTGTCTGTGGAGAAATGGGAGGCAGCACCACACGGCCATTGGGTGTCCCCAGGAGCCAGTGGGGTTAGTTCTGCTCACTGGGAAAGGGCCCCAGCTGAACCAGATCCATGGGTAGGTCTGTCAGCTGGTCAGATGTGAGCAAAGCAGCTCCTTAAGCCCCTGTCTGCTCCTATCTGAGCAATAAGCTCAGCCTAACAGCCAACGGTCCACCGGGCAAACTCCGTCCAGCTGATGAGGACAGACAGATTTCAAAGCAGGATGGTAAATTTCTTTAAAAGGGACACGGATCCGTGGAATGATGACCACTTGTTTTGATGGAACAAACAACCCCCCCCGATGAAAGAGGCAGCTGCAAGGGCTGGGTGTTGATCGTGGTGGTTGCTGGCACAACACACGGTGCCTGTCGGGCACACACTGGCCATGCCTGATGTGGTATCCAGCAGGAACTGGTGATGGAATGACTCCCTCTCCAACCCATTTTTCCTCTATAAATGTAACAGTGCAACACACACGATCAGGACATCAGCCACAAACACCTGACTGGCACATTTAAAATAAATTTGTGCTAAACTGAAAGAATTGTTCTGCATTTTCTAAACATTTATAGCACTTCCTTTGAAGCGAACAGCACCAAGTACTTGCTACACAGAATCATGGAATCATTTAGACCTTAAAGATCACTGAGTCCAACCATTAACCCAGCACTGCCAAACCTACCACTAAACCGTGTCCCCAAGTGCCACATCCCCATGGCTTTTAAACCCCTCCAAGGAGGGCAAACTGTCTTAAGATTTTAAGTGCAGCAAAAGTTGTAATAACATATGAATAAATGCACCGAGAATCTGGAGAACACAAAACAATCTAGAGCAGAAGTTTGCAAATACCCCTCACATCAATGAGAAGGAAAGTGTTTTACCTCCCGAGTGGGGTGGGGGCCCGCACAGCAGCACCATGCCCTGGCCCTGGCGCACAGACACCGTGCTCCTTGTCCTGGTCTTGAAGTTCTCCAGGTCTGCCAAGAGAAAAAGAACTCAGTCAGAGGGCCATTCATGGTTGCTCCTCGTGAAAAGCACAAAAGCTTCACCAGGACTTTGCTGCACGACGTGGGAACAAAGCGAACGTCGGCGTGGAGGGGGGGCTGGTGGGACCAGGGTGGAGCATCAGAAGCAGCAAAAGGATCAGCAAATGCCTCCCCAGGCTGGCAAGGAGGAAAAGGTGGTGATTTACCCACAGCAGAAGACACACCTAGAGAAACCTGCAGCACCTGGAACACTGGCAGAGCTTTGTTCTATCAACTCATGAACAATTACTGCCTTAAATAACCAATTACCTCATAACCCAGCCTGTTTGCCTTGAGGAGCCTCGTTACTGATGCCCTCACAACCCATGTGTGGAGACCCTTCCTCTTCCATAAGGAAGTCTCTTCTAACGGCTCCATGTTACCCACACAGCTCCTTAATTAAATTCCTCCTTCCACCTCTCTCTTTTTCTCTCCTCAGGGCCCACCAACTGCAAAAATACAACTCCCTCTCCTCTCCCTGCATGTTGAATCCAAGGAAATTGCTCTCAAGCGAGGAGGTGACTCTCTGTGAGCACCAAGACACAGAATCACTTTGGCAGCCTTTGATCTTTAACAGTCCCCTGCATTTCAATTTTCATTTTTTTTTCTTGTCTTCAGTGTAGCTGAGCCCTGGTTTGGCGATTACAAACCTCTTGGCAGTGCAGTTGGGAACCAGAGAAAACACAGAGGTGATAAATATTTATCAGCAGGAACTGGTAGGAACATCATTAAAAGTTTACAAGGATGAAAAATTAAGCTTTGATTTTTATCCCCTCTTAAAAAGGTTTTCTTCAAACATATTAAAAAAAAAAAATAAAATCAGAAGTTGTCACTGCTTCATTTCCCTGTTTAGGAAAGAAACCTTTCCTGCTAAAGTCAAATTCAGAATAAAACCCAGAGAAAAGGGAGAGTACAATGGAAATATTGAGTAACAATTTGCCCCAGTCACCATGAGATTTCCAGTACAGTTCTGCCAGACCCTTACACTGTATGGTACATCATTATTATATTATTTCAGCATTTTAATTTGCATTTTAGTGGATAAATATTGGGAGGATTTACAAAGCCTTCTACACTCAATGACTTATTTGTTAAAAGAAACCAGTGCAAACCCTGGAGTTTCCCAGTCTCAAGTCACAGCCTGAATCTCTAACTTTGCTTTGTGATTTTCTTTGTCCTTCTGTCCGTTTTTGGCCTAGGACAGAAGGAAAACAGAAGGAAACTAATTATTAATGAAAATAGAGAGATATAATTTTTCATTCCTAAATTTTATCAGTCTGACAGGATTTTTTTTTTTTTGCAGTTTACAGGAACCACTAAAGCATTTCTCTGACCACCTGCCAGTCCATAGATTTTAATATATTTTGACTGCATACAGACACAAGACTGGATTCCACCCTCTCTGAGAACAGCAGCAGGAGGAGGAATAGCCTAAAGCCAAAATAATGCCTGGAGGAATAAACATGGTATTAGGACACATTTTTTTACATCAATACAGACAAGAAAAGCATTGCTACCAGGAAAAGAATCTCTGCTTGGATGAACAACTAGGAAATGCTGGAAGAATGGTCAAAATCAACTGGAGGCAGCAAATAAAGCAGAGAATCCACCACCACTGCTCACAGTGCAAACCACCAAGCTTTGGGAGTCCCTGTCAGTTCTGAAAAGCCTCCTGGATGTGCTTCAAATCTGAATAAAACAAGATTAAGATAATTATAAGAAAGGCTGATGCCTCATCAAAGCCATTAGGTTGATTGTGCTGGTGCACCCTGAAACCCACAGATTTATTTTCTCAACACCTAAATAATAACTGGAACTGAACCCAATATCATTAAGATTTCATTAGCAAGAAGCTTCACTTAGACACCACCTCGCAGTCTTTGCCAGGAAATCAGGAACAATGTCCATGTGGAATGGTTATGAAGTGTATGGATTAGTGATGGGTGGGTTGGAGAGGTTCTCCTCTGCTTTCCCATGCTGTGCAAAGCACAGAAAAGCCTCTCCTACAAAACTGTGCTCAAATGGGTGCAGAATATTGCCCTGAAATTTTGTGCCGGGGAGACCCGAACAAAAGTTAAACGCGCTCGCTGACAACCACCCCCCACGAGGCTGTAACGCAGAAACACCACTCTAATTCTTCATTCCCTGTGTTTGTTATCTTCCTCCAAGGGAAACAGCTGTCTAGTGCCTCTGCACCCCTTCCCAGGAGCAGGTAAGAAATTATTATCAGTACTTTTGACATTAAAAATCAATGGAACAGCAAAAGAACAAAAACTAATGCTCAGCACTGAACGACTGAATGACAGTGTGACTGGTGTGCCTGCCCCAATGACAGTATTAAGTTCCACTCTGCTTTGTCCCCAAGCCCAAAGACCCTGAATTAATATGACTTTTTTTGTTCGTATTTTCCAATAAAAAAACCCTCAACAAACAGACTCACAAACCACCAGGTTAAGGGGAGCACTGAGGAAGAAAATATTAACAGTCACAATTCCAGAGGTCAATGTCCTGCCAAAGCTTATTGGGAGCACGAAAAGCTAAAGTAATGACTCCACTGAACATGGAAAAATATTGTATAAGCTCCAGTAACTCCAGCATCACAACAAGGACATGATTAGTAATGATTTCAGTGCAAAGAGGAGAATACAACAGGGAGGTGTAACAGGAACACAGGTTACTGTGAGTAACAGTTACTCACACCTTATTTAACGACTGGGTGAAGATGCCTTTTAAACAACTTCCCCACAGTATCAATTCTAACTCGAGCTGAACACACCCACATAAGTATGAAGTTGTGTGCAATATTTAATTTAAGCTGGATGAGTTTAAAAGCAGCTGCGTGACTTTGGGAAAGTCACTTCAGTTCTCGCTGACAAAGTTTGCACATCTCTAAGGACAAGCACTTCAGCTGTGTCTCTCAAAAGAGGCTTAATTAGCTAATATTTGCACTAAAACCTGACATCTGGTGCCAAAATGCACTGGAGTGCAATACACACCCCAACACCCAGCCCTTAATAGGGACTTGAACGTTTTTCCTGGCATTATGAGATTTTTTTCTGCAGCTTCTGTTAAAACTCTGGCTTAATGTTTATGATACAACTTGTGCAAGTACCGGTGAGTGATGCCAGCCTGACACAGATGCTTATTCCCCAAAACCACTGCAAAGCCCAGAAGGTGCCAGCAGCAGCTGTCAACCCACCAGCTTTTCACTTTGGGGAGGGGATTGTTTTAAATGACCTCCTTCCCAAACCTCAAGCGGGGTTTAATAAAAGCTTAAGCAATCTGAAACGATCCAAAGGCCCTCAAGACTGGGTAGTTTGTCTCAGTAAATGGCATTTGGAAACTTTAATCAAAACCATATGGCTTTTCACAGTAACAATTATGCAGCTTTGTCTAGAGTAATGAAAAATTTCCCCAAGTTTTGCCTACAATTTTCATAGCAAAGAAGATCCAATTAACAAGCAAAACAAAAGAGCTGTGGCCTTTTGTCCTTTATTAGGACCTAACTGGGTTCACTTCATGAAATTTGATAATTCTTTTTCTAAGTGACCACTGGCAAGTCCTGGAAATCGAAGTTTTTAAGAAATATTTCACAGATGGCATCAAAGGAGGAGCAAGCAAACGATGGTATCAGCTCACCCTGCCACTGCTGGGGGCACTGGAATATTTGCCCTCTGCTTTTTGTGTTTACATCCCTTTTCACTCATGGCTCCACTGCTTGTTCCACTGGCAGGACATGTACCCAGGCAGAGCAGTGACACGAGCCCACTTGGTCCCCATGATTTGCTACAACACTGAAATAACAGAGCTGCTGAACTTGGAGTTCCCTGGAAACCCAGCTGGAACACGGAGCCTTCCCTCAGGAGGCTGTGAGTCTCAAGGCATTGGGAATTTGACAGAGATCTCTGTTTTTGCTGAAAGCTGAGCTCTGTTTTGCTGCCTTTTGTTTGCCAAAGGAGGGGTTTCCATGGTTTGCTTTTTTTTTTTTTTTTCAGCCCTGTGTATTTTTAGAACCCAAAAGGCTTCGTGATTATGCTGGTTCTGAAACCAGGAGAGGCCCCTCTCTGCAAGAGGGCTGTTTTAGAACCATTAAAAGCCACCAAAAAATATGATAGAAAATTAGATGAGGAGCAAATGATCCAAATTGGTGGTGACAGGTGTCTGCATGTCCTTTAGAAAGCCAATTTCTGTGACTGTATCATGCAGAAACAGCACTGCTGTACTGCCTTGAATGACACCCTGTCAAAAATTCACACACCACAGTGAGCCCTTTGTCATTCCATTTAAAGGGTTTTTTCCTAACGATTAGAAAAGCAGTGTCAATGTTATTCTCACCTATTATTCTTGTTTAACTCATAGGAAACTATTTCTCCTTCTATTACATTCCAACAAACACACATCAATCACTTCTTTATACATCACTGAATTTTAATTTCCAAATAAGAACATGACTAATATTCAGGCTTAGAGAAATGAAAATGTTAGTGGCTTTTACACTATGTTTTACTTAAAAAGTCTCTCTAGAGACTCCTGTAAAGCAAATTTGATAACACATCAGTGCTATCACTCCACTGAGTCGATGTTAATAGCAAGGAGCCTCCAAAGCATAAGCCCTGTGTCTCTGTGTCCATCTGTATCTTCCCATGGATCATTATTCCTACAGAATGAGATACTCAATGAACCTTGATAAAGGAACCCCATAGTTTAGATCCAGGAGCAGCACAGGAAGGGAAAGGGGAGGTGACACCCTGTGCATCCAAGTGTGGAGTTATTGGGAATTAGCAGTAACGGGATACTGTGCCATTCTAACTGTACTAAAAATAAGGCTTTGGTTGGGATACTCACACTTCAGTTGATGGTTTACAAATCCTTGGATCAGCACTTCAGTTCTTTTAGCCTGTTTATATTTTATGGGGTGTTGTGGTCGGTATCTCACCCTTGACACTTGGCTG